CGGATAGAGTAAAACAAGAAGGTTGGTCGGATGGGTAAAAAAAAAAATGTTGGTCGGATATAGTAACGCAAAAAGTCCCCAAAGACGGTCAGTTGGATAGAGCAAAAAAAGTCCCCAAAGAATGTCGGTCGGATAGAGCAAAAAAAGTCCCCAAAGAATGTCGGTCGGATAGACTAAAACGAAAAGTCCACGAAGAAGTTCGGTCGGATAGACTTAAACGAAAAGTCCCCAAAGAAGGTTGGTCGGATGGGTAAAAAAAAAAAGGTTGGTTGGATAGACTAAAACGAAAAGTCCCCAAAGAAGGTTGGTCGGATAGAGTAAAACGAAAACTCCCCAAAGAAGGTCGGTCGGATAGAGTAAAACAAAAACTCCCCAAAGAAGGTCGGTCGGATAGAGTAAAACAAGAAGGTTGGTCAGATAGGTAAAAAAAAAAAAGGTTGGTCGGATATAGTAAGGCAAAAAGTACCCAAAGAAGGTCGGTCGGATAGACTAAAACAAAAAGTCCCCAAAGAAGGTTGGTCGGATAGACTAAAACGAAAAGTCCCTAAAGAAGGTTGGTCGGATAGAGCAAAACAAGAAGGTTGGTCGGATGGGTAAAAAAAGGAAGTTTGGTCGGATGGGTAAAAAAAGGTTGGTCGGATAGAGTAAAACAAAAAGTCCCCAAAGAAGGTTGGTCGGATAGACTAAAACGAAAAGTCTCCAAAGAAGGTTGGTCGGATGGGTAAAAAAAAAATGGTTGGTTGGATAGACTAAAACGAAAAGTCCCCAAAGAAGGTTGGGCGGATAGAGTAAAACAAAAAGTCCCCAAAGAAGGTTGGTCGGATAGAGTAAAACAAAAACTCCCCAAAGAAGGTCGGTCGGATAGAGTAAAACAAGAAGGTTGGTCAGATGGGTAAAAAAAAAAAAGGTTGGTCGGATATAGTAAGGCAAAAAGTACCCAAAGAAGGTCGGTCGGATAGACTAAAACGAAAAGTCCCCAAAGAAGGTTGGTCGGATAGACAAAAATGAAAAGTCCCCAAAGAAGGTTGGTTGGATAGACAAAAATGAAAAGTCCCCAAAGAAGGTTGGTCGGATAGAGTAAAACAAGAAGGTTGGTCGAATGGGTAAAAAAAAAAATGTTGGTCGGATATAGTAAAGCAAAAAGTCCCCAAAGAAGGTCGGTTGGATAGAGCAAAAAAAAGTCCCCAAAGAAGGTCGGTCAGATAGACAAACAAAAAGAAGGTTGGTTGGATAGAGTAAAACAAAAAGTCCCCAAAGAAGGACGGTTGGATAGAGCAAAAAAAAAAGTCCCCAAAGAAGGTTGGTCGGATAGACAAACAAAAAGAAGGTTGGTCGGATAGAGTAAAACAAAAAGTCCCCAAAGGACGGTCGGTTGGATAGAGCAAAAAAAAGTCCCCAAAGAAGGTCGGTCGGATAAAGTAAAACAAGAAGGTTGGTCAGATGGGAAAAAAAAAAAAAAGTTGGTCTGATATAGTAAGGCAAAAAGTACCCAAAGAAGGTCGGTCGGATAGAGTAAAACAAGAAAGTTGGTCAGATGGGTAAAAAAAAAAAAAAAAAGGTTGGTCGGATATAGTAAGGCAAAAAGTACCCAAAGAAGGTTGGTCGGATAGAGTAAAACAAAAAGTCCCCAAAGAAAATCGGTTAGATAGAGCAAAAAAAAAAAAAAAAGTACCCAAAGGTCGGTCGGATAGACTAAAACGAAAATTCCCCAATGAGGTCGGTCGGATAGACTAAAACAAAAAGTCCCCAAAGAAGGTTGGTCGGATAGACTAAAACGAAAAGTCCCCAAAGAAGGTTGGTCGGATAGAGTAAAACAAGAAGGTTGGTCGGATGGGTAAAAAAAAAAA